GGAGGGAGAGAGGTAAAAATAGCTCACCCTTTTGTGTACAGCAGCACATGCGGAGCATGCACGCACACGCAGACACAAAGATACTGTGCTGTTGCCGTGTGTGTGTGGATGCATATCCGTGGGTGTGTGTGTGTGTGTGTAAGTGTGTAGGCTGTAATTATAGTGGCAATATGAAAAGGCTTTTGTAGCTGCTGAGCCCTGGGAAGACGACTATAAAAAGCAGAGCGACAGAAAAGGATGATGAGGAGGAGGATGCATCGGGGAGAGGGGGAAGACAGAGGTGAGGAGGGGAGGTGATGGAAAATGGAGGAATAACAACAAAACGGTGCAAAAAAAGAGGAAAGAGGAAAGAAGTGAAATGCATCACAAACGCATTCAAATTTGTGTCGTCACACACACGTTCTCTATATGTGTATTTATTTTTAGCACTCACATGCACCTGATCCATATATACTCTGAGCACAGGGCTTACAGACATCTGAGGCACACAAACATGCAATTATTCTGTTGGATGGGAGATGAAAACCCATGTAAAATCCCCTTGGAGGAATAAAAGAGAGGAAAACAGGCGAGCATCTCAATGTGTATGATCTATTTCTGGAATTCTCTCTGGACCAGACTGACACATACACACAGACAGACACACACACACACACACACACAGTTAATTAGCCATGAAGCTGGAGAATGCATCATGCACTGATTATGCGTGTATTCGTCTCGCACCACATTGCATGAATGGCTGCACCCCTGACGCATCAATCCCTGTGAGGATTTGGGTGTGGACTTGAACACCATGTTTGGTCCTGTTCAAACCAATCTCAACACACACAGGTTTATTTACCTAAATCCTCTCACCAGCGGTTGCCAGATATGGCTGCCTGATGGACTGCGATTAAAAAAACAACCTCAAGACACATGCCATTCAAATTCAAAATTTTGCCAGACACAGGGTGCAGGTCAAATCTGCGGTCTTGTAAACACAGTGTTAAACTTTATGTAAAAGGTGAGGAAATACTGCAAAAGCAGACAAGTGGTCACCCCACCCCACACACCCCTATCTCTCCAAAACAAACAGGGCCACATCAGTGATAGCTGATATCTCTTGATGAGCCTATTCAAATGATACACACGCTGCTAGATTTTGCAATGGAAATGAGGTGCATCCGAGTGTGATGACACCTGTGGTTTGCAGTAATTCTATGCCAGATTTTGAACAAATTGCTGGTAGCAGCTTTACATCGCCAACTTAAGCGGTGGAGAATTAGGGAGATGGTTGTCTTTGTCTGTGGTTAGTTAGACAAAGCGTAGAAGCTTTCAAACAAAACCACACTGCTGATACTTGAGACTCACGTGGACAGAACACAGATGTGTACAAACGCTCACATCTGTCAGAGTCGGAGAGGGGGAGACCAGGAAAGGCAACGAGGGAGAGCAATGTAACAAAGCAACAAACCACACACACACACAACTACCACACACTTGGAGAGGAGAGGTGCCCTGTACCTTGGTAACACAGTCCATCAATCTTGAATGCAGCCTAGTTACTCACCAGCCCCCTTGTCCCTCTTTCCTCCCTCCACGTTCTCTCCTTTTCTCTATCCTCCTCTCTTCCTGGTCCCACTGGGCGAGCATCGGGAGATGGGCAGCTATAAATAGCCCCAGCTAGCCTCGGGCGGGGAGTCAGTCAACTCAAGCTAATGCGGCTACTGCTTGTCGAAAACATGCCTGTTATGATCACTGCTGTAAATGAGGAAGGATGCAGGGGAAATGAGCTAAACAAATGTTGGAGAGCTCTGTCCACTGCATTGCTACATGTAGGGACAACACAGAGAGATGGGTAAGTTAGACCCGTATGTTGACAGAGGCCTCTGTTATGTACCAGAATGAGAATGAGATGGCTGTCTGTGCCACTGTGATGTTTACAGAGAGGGACAGTGACTGAGAAACAGAGGAAGGATGCTCCTGCCTCATTACATTCAGAGCACTTCCGTTCTGGCTGCTTCATCCAGGGTGACTCCAGTGAGCAAGGTGAACCCGGCAGGAACAATACAATTAATCAAACACGCCTCTCCTTGAAGAGCCTTTTCCTCTGGGTCGCAAATTCACCTCCCGAGGGCACCAGCTGACGTCATAGCAGCTGATAAAAGAGAATGGGTGACCCCTGTGTGAGCTGCCACCAGTTGGCGTCCCATGAACAGTCGGAAACAACCGTCTGACCCTCATTTCACGCTGGCAGAGTTGGAAAAACACAGCGGTAATGCAATTTGGTGCAGTGTCCAAGTGCTTCTTTGTGCTTCTCTGTGAATGCTGTCATTTGATGTAAAATCGCAAATTAGTTGGGAATTTGTAATTAGGCTGCAGGAGCCTTCTGCCTGTCCAAAAGGTCATGAGGTCAGCAGACTGACGAAGAGGCTACAACTGCAGAGACGCTGCAGCTAGAAATACATTTAATAGGTCACAAAAACTAACGTGTATGGGAGTAAGCCTCACACTGGAAGTGTTGGGTTTTCAGTGTCAGCACTGGCAGTGCATGTGGGAAATCTGCAGTTCAAATTTATGATTTTAATATGACCATCGCATAAGGAGCTGCATGTAATTTATTAGCTCATTTATAATATAAGGTGTGCAAGTTTAGAACCATTATTAAAAAGAGCATATTTAAGGGCAGAAGCTCCAGTTTGATTAGGAGAAAACGGTGAAATCAAACTGGAGTTGGACTCAACCAGTCACTATCTGTCCAAATTCCTTTTGTTCCTGATCAACACTAGTTTATTTAGATAAAACCAAACTGTAAAAGTGAACAGCTTGATGACTGGTGAGGTTTTTGCATCTAAATCTACTCGAGAAACTTAAATTTTAAAAGGATTTCAAGGTTTGCTGTTCGATACGGAGGGTGCTGTAGCTGTGAACGGTAATTAACATGGGTCATACTTTGATCTGCTTGCGTAACAGCAGTATTTCCTCGATGCCCAGGCCACACTTCCATGCTCGGTGTCAAGCACTGCAGAGCACCATGTCAAAAGGCACAAGGATAGGACTCTGAGGCAGCAGTGTAAACCGTAATTGACGCTGACAGCTTGTTGGCAGAACACAGTGTATCCAGTTTCTTGGCTGGGACAAGACAAAAGACTCGGGGACAAAAGATGGATCCTTTCATTAGCTCATGTTCCCTCTCTGCTGTCTCTATCATAATACCAATCAAAAATACAGCTTTTCTAATGTACCAGGGCACCCACCCTCTATAAAGGCCATTATATGGTGTTGTGTTTTTAGAAGGACAAGCTGTGTGCTGCACCCCATTAGCACGAGGACAACGCAGAGCTTGTTCATGTTAGGGGTCTGTCCTTGCATATGAAAGCCCCCAGGGTTTGTTCTGGGATGGTCTGTTAGTCATGTTTAGCCAAGTTGGTGGCACATGTGGGAGGACAGAACTGATGAACTGTCTGGCTGGCAGGAACCTTGTCTTTGAGTTCAGCAAAAGAGGGAGGGTGCGGCATTATGGGAACACACTGCTCAAGTGCATTTTGCAATCTGCCACAATTTCGTAATTTAGTTCTCTAGGATAGAAACAACATGTCAGCACAAGTGGACAGCAGACAACAGGTACAATAGTGCTTGAAATCACTCTGGATGAGGCTCATGCTTGTATCACAATGACTGCTGCACAAAGCAGGCAGTGGCTTTGTCATCCGTGCACCCGTCCCGTGCTCCATTTTTAGCTGCACGATACATAGCAACAAACCGCTCGATTGTGAAGAGGAGAATCAACACAGGAGGCCAAAAATAATGACTGTTTGTTCGCCATGCATTCACGTGGTCATATCTTATGCGTGAGTTTCTAAAAATAGACCCAGGGATAAGCCGGGCCCTCTTTATTGCAGTGAAAGCTTTTAACCCCTTCACCCCTGGATTAAAGCAGTGCGACTGCATGTATTTGGAGAAGAAGATGAAGAGGGGTCACTGAGTGGGTCTAGAATAGAAAGCAGGATGAGAGAAATGTAAATTTAATGCACAAATCATCTATAAACTTTGGCCGTACATTCATATATGTACAGGCAACCATTGCAGAGACACCTTTACTTTTATTTTAAGATGGCTATTTAGCTTCCTTTTACACAGTTCTTCTCAGAACTCATACATCTGACATATGCCCAGGGAACCCACAGCCCTACTGTGGTGGATCTACTGGGCCAGTTATGAATTATGTGTCTCGTTCAAAGGCGTCTCATTGTCATCACTTTCTCTACCTGGGGGAAGGGAAAGCGCTTCTCATTCACTTTATCCATTTACCATAAAGTACAAACCAGTGAGTTTCCAGTCCCAAGTCTGCTCCTTAAGTCACTATGCCACCGCTGCCCCGTTAACAGTATCTGGCAGGTGTAATAAAAAGCAAATCCATAATATAGACTTATAGCCATCAGGAGAGCTGCGTGCGTACTGTGCTACAGAGTTTATTTTAAGATGGGGTGAGACCCAGAGATGGGTCAGATGAGGCAAAAGTGGGTCAACTCAAATTATTCTGAGAGAGTAGCAACCAAAGCTGCTGTAAGAAAATGATTATGTATAAATGAGCTAATTAATAATAATTAATAATAGTAATTTAATAAATTCTAAAGAGACA